CTTGAGGTGTGAGGCTGTAGAGCCAGGCTAGACCAGCAGCAGAAGCCTGATCTCCCACTAGTGACAGGTGTCTTGAGTGAACGAGGGCTGCCAGCACAGCCTTTAGCTAGCTACTTTAGGAGCCATGCACTCTCACACAACTGTGGCTTACCTTTCTTCCACCTGGAAAATGACTCAAGCCTCCCTCTTCTTCCTCATTCTTCTCCTTCCTCCCGACCCTCCTTCCCCCCACTGCCTCTTCACTGAATGCTCCACCGACCCAGCCTGGAGGAAAGCCCCTCCCTGCTCCCACGCAGCCACGTGCTGTGTGTTATCTCATGACAGACAACCACATGCACAACTGTCCTCCTCCAGCAGCGTCTCCTGTGATAACGCCCACCCCAAAGCAGTGAGGGGAAGGAGAGCAAGTACTTCCTTAAGGCCTGAGCATTCTTAAAGAGATAAAGAACAAGTCTATTTCCTTTGTCTGGGGTAGAATGGCTTCGGGGCTAATACAGCTTTCATTTTTAAACCAAGTGTTTTCATTCAGAGTTTCCCAGAACTTTCTCTTGATCTAGTTTGTTCATTTGCTGTCTGAACACACAACTCTTGACATGTGCTAGTCAGTTCCTGCTTGGTCTGATACAAAGCTCAGGCCCTCAGGACCCCAGGAGGGACAACAGAAAGAGCAAACCCCAGGAAAGAGGCAGCAACCCCAGCCCCCATACACATACAAAATGTGCAGATAGGATGGATAGACAAACACAAAACATGCAGACAGGAGAGATACACATACAAATAGGCAGACAGAGAGACACATGTGCAGACAAGAGAAAGCTGGGACTCTGAGTTGGGGGCAGGGTCTCCACAGCCAGCACCCATCAGTCAGACAGCAGGGAGATGAGTCCTTCTGGTGCAAACCAGGCCACCCCTGGCAGCTTGGGCTACCGACATGCAGGAGCCTGGGAAACTCTGTCAGCCTGGCCAGACAGGATATGGAGCTGGCTGTGTGGAGAGGGGCCACACCAGTGATCCCAGATACACAACACTCACCTGAAGTCGATGAGGCTCAGGTGGTTCTGTTCATAGGCCCGGAGGACAAGTAAAATCTTTTGGTCTAGAAGTCAAATGAGAGTTGCTATAGGAAGCGAAGTGCATTCAACACACAGAATACTGCCAGCACCCTCCCAGCAGCTCCCTCACCCCTCCCCACCCACAGGGCCTTACACTCTTACCCAAGACGCTGAGAGTGGCACCGTAGGCTCCAAGAAGCACGGCAAAATGGCTGCTCTGGCAGACAGAGGGGCACAGCCTCACCACCGCCCACATCAGATCCACCAGTGCTTCTGGAAGAAACAGAGAGACATCAGCACTGCAGGGACACACAGCAAACAAAGCAAGGGGGAATGCTCCAGGAACCCTTGAACATCTCAACGATGTGCACGGCCAGCTGCCATCCAGCCCCTTCCCCACTGGGATGAATTTTTTATTAATGACTTTACGGTGGCCAGTTTCTCATGTTTTTGACAAGGCCAGGGACTAGTCTTAGCTCAGGTCACTCCCAGATTTTAAAATCTAAACATTCATCCCCATAATTACACTACCAAAAAGCTCTAAAATTTCTACTCCTTCCTGAATAGAGAACACATTTTCCTACCATTTGCACTAGTAATTGGCACAACAGTTGGCCTCACTCCGATAGTTTTTAAGTTTATTCTTTTGGCTGTTATGGTTGGAACTCAGGTATCTACAACTTGAGTCACACCTCCAACCATTGTCTACTTTACTTAGTCTTTCATAGTCTCATGCTTTTTGCCTAGTGCCAGCCTTGGACACAATCCTCCTATCATAACTCCTGCATAGTTGGGATAAAAGACATGAGCTACTATTCTCAGTTCATTTGTTGAGATGAATTCTCTCTCATACTCTCTTGAACTGTGATCTTCCTGATCTTGCCCTCCTTAGTGGCTGGGGCTGTAGGCATGAGTCATCATACTCGGCCAATCCAGCAGTTTATTACAGACTGACCCATAATGGCTTCTAATGGTCTGGGTAACAACTGACTTGTCTCTTAACAGTGTGGCTTTGAGGGGTCTTTTCTGACATGTCTCACAGCCCACCCAAGCAGTAAGTAAATGTTTACTGAATTAGGTATACTTACTCCTAAGCGGTAAGTGTTTACTGAATGAGGCATAGAGTAAGCCTCGCATTAGAAGAGTTCTGCAACAGCATTCTGTCAACAAGTGAATAGTAACTCTCTTCCCTTGCTAAGCTTCAATCTGCCACTAAGAAAACTCATGTACATAGTCTCTCAGGTCTGACACCCACCGTTGCTTTTCACACACCTCCTAAGTTCCCCTAACTCCCAGCATTTTTACCACTCAGGCATGACATGGGAGGGAGCCCTCCAACCCCTCTACTACTCGGACAAGGCATTCAGAACAGGCCTACTTTTGTCCTTTTATCAGAGGAGTATCAAGCCTGGCGTGGGTGGCTCATACCTGTAATCTTGGCTACTAACAAGACTGAGATCTGAATACTGAAGTTCAAAGCTAGTCCAGGCAGGAAAGGCTGTGAGTTTATCTCCAAGTGACCAGCAAAAGCCAGAAACAGAGCTGTGGCTCAGGAGTAGAGTACCAGCCTTGACCAAAAAAACTAAGGGAAGCTGGGCACCAGTGGCTTATGCCCATAATCCTAGCTACTCAGGAGGCTGAAATCTGAGGATCAGAGTTTGAAGCCAGACCAGGCAGGAAAAGTCCATAAGACTCTTATTTCCAATTAATCACCAAAAAACTGTAAGTGGAGCTGTGTCTCAAAATGGTAGTGCTCTAGACTTGAGCACAAAAGCTCAGAGACAGCACCCAGCCCTGAGTTCAAGCCCCACAACTGATAAAACAAAACAAAACAACAACAACAAACACTAAGGGATAGCACCTAGGACCTAAGTTCAAGTCTGAGTACTGACATGCATACATGCGCACACAGGACTATATCCTGATTCTGGAACTGACAGTAACAAACCCCGAGTACTTCCTGCTGAGATCTGAAAACAAATAGGGGGAGAAGCTCTGGAACACATCACTAGGAAACAAAAGCAGGAATGGAACTAGGGGATCTGGGGAGGGATACCTTTTACTTGACTATCTGGATTTCTCTCTCCCTCAGAGGTCAGCAGTGTTGGCAGAAACAAAGAATGCTGGGTCAGCATCATGTGGACCACAGGAAGCTGGATGAGCTTTGAGTGCATGGAACTTTCTGGGCTATACAGCAGCAGAGTGGCAGCATGCAGGGTCTTTAAGAAGGTGTGGTCCTGATAGCGAAATCTGGGAGGCAGGAGTCAAAAGGAAACAGCTTAATGAAAGGGGAGTTTACTTGATAGGAAGCAGTTTTTTTTTTTTCCTTAGAATTATGAAGATATTGAAATATACCACCAAGCTGGCTATCTAACCTTTCTCTTGATTCTAATGCAGTGTATATTAATGCTCTATCACATCTGTTCAGACTCATGAATTTTGTGTGTGTGAGTGTGTTTTGTCGGTTGTGGATCTTGAACTCTGGGCTTAGGCGCTGTCCCTCAGCTCTTCAGCTCAAGGCTAGCGCTCTACCACTTGAGCCACAGCACTACTTCCAGCTTTTTCTGTTTATGTGGTGCTAAGGAATCGAACCCAGGGCCTCCTGCATACAAGGCAAGCACTCTGCCACTGAGTCACCTTCCCAGCCCCAGACTCATGAATTTTTATGCCCATGCTGACCTCAAACTGCAATCAGCTGATCTCTACCTCCTATGTGGCTAGGATTACAGACTTGAGCCACCATGTCTGGCTTCATTTCTGTATTTTAAAAAATATCTTATTCTCATAGTGCTGTTCCTCTGTTCCTCATCAGAAACATGACAGTGTCAATAGGTGGATCATATTCTTCAACAATCTTTATCTTCTCTAAAAATGAGGTAACCTCTGCTCCATAGCTGTCAAAAACACTGCTACCTTTATAAATGACACAGGGAAAATAAAATCAACTTACTTGAGTCCTGTCTTCACAAATTTCTGCCAGTCACTGGGGTCAACTTCATTAAGTACCTGCTAGAATAAAGCAAGCAAGAAATACACATGAAGTAATTCAATGAATTTGAAAAAAAATTACTGACAGACAGAGGCTTTGTAGCCTTCAGATAGGCAGTGCCTTGCTGGGTCTGCCTGTCCCTCTGCAAACATGACAGAGTTGCCGAGGCCAAGCTCCGAGGCCCTCCTGCTTTAAGTTTGAGATTCTACCCAAAAGCTCTGAAGTCTACCACCTAAGACCATTACTAGTGAGCATGTGACAACTCATGTTTACAGGACAATCAAGACAGCTCATAACACAAAACCTGAAGTACCAACTATAAAACTCAAGTTAGAACCACTCAGTAAATATAAAAGACATTTTTTGAATAATCCACAAAATCATGCACCTTTTTGGTATTTTGGTTTTACTTTTTTTTTTTTGGTCAGTTGTGGGGCTTGACCTGGTTGTGGGGCTTGACCTCAGGGCCTAGGCACTGTCCCTGAACTTTTTTCACTCAAGGTGAGAGCTCCCTCCATTTTGAGCCATAGCTCCACTTCCTGCTTTCTAGTGGTTTATTGGAGATCAGAGTCTCACAGACTTTCCTGTCCAGGCAGGCTTTGAACCATGGTCCTCAGATTCCTGAGTAGTTAGGATTAGAGGCGTGATCCAGATACCCAGCTTGTTGGCTTTTTTTTTTTTAATACGTTATTCTGTTATTTCTGCTGATAGGTCTGACGTTTACATGGCTTATGCTCTTCAAATAGCGAAAGGAAATTTCCCAAATAGTCTGCTGTCTACCATTTCAGAAACTTAATGGATTTGCAATGGCCTTTCACTGAAGTCAATGGCGCTCTTCCATTTCAGTTTGTGTCTGGGGCGCGGCATCGGAAAGATGGAATGCTTTGATTCTGAGGAACCAGTTTTACAGAAGCAAAGTGCTGTTTCAAATGAAGTAAATAGCCAAGTAATTAAGATGAATGGCAGGAACTGGGCCGGAATGGCGGAAGCTGGTACTTGGGAACTTCCGGTGGGCGGGCATTTTTAAGAGCGCAAGGCGGTACTTCCGGTGCTGTTTGCTTCCGGACGCGGTCGTTCCGAAGCCCCGGCCGGAAGAGGCTGCTGCGGGTTCGGATCTGCGCGGGGCCATGTCTGTGGATTTTAAGACTTACGTCGATCAGGCTTGCAGAGCTGCTGAGGAGTTTGTCAGTATTTACTACGACACCATGGACAGGAGGCGCCGGGCCCTGCCCCGGCTGTACCTGGACGAGGCCACCTTGATATGGAATGGCAACGTTGTCACAGGGCTGGAAGACCTCGCTAACTTCTTTGAGATGCTGCCTACCAGCGAGTTCCAGGTGAACATGCTAGACTGCCAGCCGGTGCACGGGCAGGCCACCCAGGCCCAGAGCACCGTGCTGGTGGTGACCAGTGGCACGGTCAAGTTCGATGGGAACAGACAACACTACTTCAACCAGAACTTCCTGCTGACCACGCAGCCCACCCCGCGCAGCACCGTGTGGAAGATTGCCAGCGACTGCTTCCGCTTCCAAGACTGGGCCTCGAGTTAAAGGGGCCAAAGTGTGGCCAAGTGTGCCGTGGGGGGGGTTTGTTAGTTCCGGCAGCAGAAGTGTGAGCGAAGCAATGTGTTTCGTTGTAAGAGCAGTATGAATGGATTTGTGCTAAAAGTAAAATATTTTAATATGTTTTTATTCCTAGAAACACCTCTTGTAGCAGCTGCCAACTTGGATTGTTGCCCTAAGAGCTTTAATGCTAGGTTCTTACATACATATTCCACGGAAGCCATTCTCAAAGTAATATTAAACATACTGTGAACCCAGTAGTACATTAAAAAGAAACAACTGGGAATTCTTTTGTAATTACATCTGTGATGTATTAGTACCACATAACTATCTTGGAAGAAGCTGGGATTCTTGGCTAATAGATTTAATTTTATAGTAAAGCACAAGCATCTATAGTTCAGTTAAAACTGTTAATAGTTTTTTTTTGTTGTTTGTTTTTTTTTTTTTTGTTTTTTTTTTTAATGCTAGTCCAAAGGCTTAAACTCAGGGCCTGAGCACTACCCCTGAGCATTTTTTGCTCAAGGTTTGTGCTGTACCATTTGAGCACAACTCTACTTCGTGTCTTTTGGATAGTTTATTGGAGATAATTTATAGACTTTCCTGCCTAGGCTGGCTTCCAACTGTGATTCTCAGCCTCCTTAGTAGCAAGGAGTATAGGCATGGGCCACTGGCACCCAGCTAATATCGTTTTATTATATAGTATTTAAAATCAGTTCAATTTAAGTTTGTATTGTTACAACTCTGAAATATTTGAGTTGTAAGTAGAGATGTTCAGTCTTTTATACATTATTTTCTTATGTTGACATGTTTCCTTATGAAGTGAATCATCTAAAAAGGTAAAAATGTTCTGTTGAAATCTGAGCTCTGGGCTGGGAATGTGGCTTAGTGGTAGTATGCTTGCCTAGCATGCATGAAGCCTTGGGTTGGATTCTTCAGTTCTGCAAACAGAAAAAGCCAGAGTGGCGCTGTGGCTCAAGTGGTAGAGTGCTATCCTTGAGCAAAAGGAGCTCAGGGACAGTGCCCAGGCCCTGAGTTCAAGCCCTAGGACTGGCAAAAAAAAAAAAGAAATCTGAGCGTTGGTATATTTAGTGGCTAAAAAGCAAAAGTCGCTAATAGCAGTTTTCTTGGCAGCTCCAGATCTGTAAATTTAGGTAATGAGTGGTAATAGAACTAATAGCTTTAATGAGAAATGTAGAGATACCCTCATGATGGAAACCAAAAATTAAGGAGGAAGGCTGACCAATTGGTAAAATGCTGGTACTTGTTTCTTACCTAAAAATACAGCCCACCTTTATTTAAATTACTAATAAGTATTGTTGCCAAACAATCGTGAATATCACTCTTGTCCTAAGAATGAGTTTTTGAGGTATTTGTACTTTACTTCATACTTATCACCAATATTTATGTCAATTTATACAAGAACATACGGGGTAAAATGTTAGAAATAAGCCTAATCTATGATGGGATCTAACAGGAGAGGGGGAAAGAAAGCTATTGCTATGTCTGACACCTTTAACTCCTGTCTTCTCTATGAACTCTATAGGTCAAAAGACTCCTATAGATTACCCACTCTTGAATGAATGCTCCCTGTTTTGTACTCTAAATTGTATTCTATTATTTAAGATTAAAATTATTTCATTTATAATTTGTTCCTATAGTGACATTGAGCAAATAGAAAACATTTTGAAACATGTTCTCATTACGTGGCTCACTCATTGTCTTTTCAAAGAGAAAGAACAAAAGATCTTCATGTTAAACTTCAAAAAACTAAAGTACAAATTTTATGTCTCAACTTTTGAAGGAGAAAAACCCTAGCTCTGATTTTTGGTTAAAAGCTTTTGCAATTTATTAATGTTCTGTATCATTTAATTTTAAAATTACTAATTGACTCTTGCCCCAAACTATATACTGTATTCTGGTTGATCCTATTAAAATAGAATTTGATAGGAGTGGACCTGACTTTAAAAACCCATACATTCTTGACGTGTACTGATAGTCTAATCAAAATTGTTCTTATTTTGTATTTTTTAAGTCATAGCTTTAACAGCACCAACCAAAATAACACCCTTTCCCCAAAGAAAGTCTCAAATAAAAGCTGCATATACATAGCAATTGAAATGAGCTTTTGTGAATTGCTTTCTATAAACCCTGTAAATGACTAGACCTATTATATCAGATTTGTTTTTGACATCTTTACATTTTTATCACTGAAAAAATAAAATTTGCCTTGTAACAATTTCTTTAAAAAATAAAATGTCAGTGGAGGCTACTCATGTGGTCCCCTCACTGACCCCCAGGTCACAGGCTCTAGTGGGACAAAGGGGAGATTTGGGAACTGAGGACCAGTATCAACTATGGAGAGCAGCTGATGGCAGTGTGCTCAGCCTGCACCAGGCTGGCCATGCAGTAGAGACCTCAGTGCCAGTGTGAAGGAAACCCCTGGGGCAGTGGATCCCTCCCCAAGCATGAGGCAGTCTTCCTGCCCATCACATCCTTAAATCCCAGTTCTCTGCTGCCGCAGCGTCATGCAAAATATTCAGCATGCTCATGTTTACCACAGCCAAAACTGGAAAGCCACCCAAGGCTTGGCAATGTACATGAATCCAGAAGATATACACTGACCTACAAGATCAATGCCCCCTGCCAACGTCAACAGGTTCACAGTCCTTAGAATGGAGAGAAAAAACTCAAAATATGGTATCAGGATAACAAAAAACCAGCTGTCAGAAAGCCAGGTTACAAATATGCAGAATATGATCCCATTAGTACACACAATTATGCTTAGCACAATTGCATACATTCTCTCTCTCTCTCTCTCTCTCTCTTTCTGTGTCTTTCTCAGCAACACCTCTGGGAGGAAATTCATTTAGCCTTATAAATAGGATAGCTTCTAGGTAATGGGGAATGTTTAATATTCTTCTTTATAATGGGTATGTTCGTTAGCTTTGTAACAATTCCTAATGATTCCAGATTATCTGGGGCTTGGAGGGAAGGGCAATGGACACCAAGCAGTAGAATACTACTCAGCATTGAAAAACAAAAAGCAAGTCATTCTCAGTAGATGATTACAGAAAGTATAGCAGAAGCCATACATATTATTCCAAATCTAATAAAAGGACTAGAACAGGATTATAGTATATACACCTATAATCCCAGAATTTAGGAGACTAAAGCAGGAGGGTCTAGTTCAAGACTAGTCTGGGCTAATAGACTATCAAAAAAAGGCAAAAACAAAAAGGAAACAAGTAAGAGCCAGCATGGTGGTACATGCCTAGAGATTATGAGCTTGAGGCCAGCCTCGCTAGCTACACTTAGTGAAGTTGGAGAGGCTGTCCACGATGGGAGGTGGCATTCCCTGTGGATGCCGGGCCTTAAGCACCACCACTCTACAACTCAGCCCTGACAGCTCACTACATTTAGGTCTTGGGCACATTCTTCCCAGAGTCCACCCAAGCCTGGGTTCTGTGTAACTAGGTTCACAAACCTGTGATGAGTTACAAAGATTTTTTAGAATAGCCAAGCACATAGCTTGCTCCAGGACTTCCAAATGTATTTACTACATTCAGGTTTGTTTTACTTGGAGTTATGTTCCTGAGGATTACCTGGCTCAGAGTTTAAACACAAGCCATAGACTCTAGGACTAGTAATGCACCTTTATGCCATGCACCAGGAAGCAACTCAGATTCTCATGCAAATGTTTCAGATATTATTTCTGTGCAAAACAATAGAACATTTTAGGAGGATGCTTCTGAGAAGGGAATTAGGGCCAAGTATTTCTAAATTCTATGAAACTACCATTCTACAGATCAAACAGCTTACTGAACCCAAGTACAAGAAATGTGGAAAAAACACAAAAGCTGTTCAAATTGCTTTAGCCCACATTTTAAAAAACACTAAGTTCAGTCTGAGGAGACAGAGAAATAAAGAATGACAAATTTAGCCAGGCACTGGTGGCTCATGCCTGTAATCCTAGCTACTTAGAAGGCTGAGATGTGAGTATCACGGTTCAAAACCAGCCTGGACAGGAAAGTCCATGAGACTCTTATCTCCAATTAAATACCAGAAAACTGGAAGTGGCACTGTAGCTCAAAGCGGTAGAGGGCTAGACTTGAAAGAGCTCAGAGACAGCGCCAGGCCCTGAATTCATGCCCCCAGCAACATCAAACACAAAAGACAAATTTGTTCATGGCAAGCCAGATGACAACCCAGTAAAATGTTTAAAACTCAGAGAAACGCTACCCAACTCATTCAATGAGGTCAGTGCTATCTGACCTAAACATATTAAAGAAAAATTAAAGTACAAGCTAATATCCCTTGCGTCCACAGAATCAAAATCTCTTAACAAAATATTAGGTGCTCCAATCCAATGAGGTATAAAAGGAAAATAAATCATACTCAAGTAGGCTCATTCCAGGAATGCAAGATTGGTTTAACACTCATCAATATAATTCAGACTAATCAAAAAATAAGACCTTTTATAACATCTCAATAGATGCAAACAAGCATGTGACAAAAATCCAGCATCTACTTCTGATGAAAATGGCTCATCAATTCAGGAATTGCCACCACATGCCACTCTGCCTCTACACACTGCCCTGCCACACAGCAGAAGTGTATCTGTAAAGCTTGGTTTGTCCCTTAAAGGCATAACTACGATCTATAAGCAAAAACACCTACCAACAACTCGCTTAATCTGAGCAACATCTGCTTCTCTTGATCCTGGGTGCTGTCATCACTGGGCTGGCTACTACTGAAGGATGCAAGCAACCACTGCACACAGGACTCAAGGAGGGTCTTCTGCCAGGCATGCAGCTCTCCTGCTACCTCCTCCAGAGCTGCAGAGATGGAGTCTGCTACAATCCAACTGCAAAGGAGACCAGAGTCCAGACTTAGAGGAAAGATGTAATCCAACATCACAAATGCCAGTATGAAACAGATGTCCCAGGGCCTGTTTCCTAGAACATCCACTCCAGAAGCCACTCTTTATG